AAAAAAAAAAAAAAAAAAGTCACATTCCTCGTACTATTATAATTATTAAAAAATTGTGAATATAGTTAATATAATTTAAAACTTAATTTTATTATGTCGTCTGGATCATATTATAAAATTTTAAAGGTAGATTTATGAATTCATAATTTGATGTACACGTGTAAATAAAATTACTCCAATTTAAAATGATAAAATAAAATCTTTATTGTCGAATATTCTAGCTTCATCTCTCCTCTAGGCTATATCAACCCTACAAAATTTGAACTTGGAAAATACCAAAAAGAATTTAAAAAAATAAAGAAAAAGAAAAAATAAAATAAAATGAATCCCCAAAATTGCCCGCCAAATTCCTTCACTGCTCACAGCCCTAACACAAACAAGCTCAACACAAGCCCAACCATGGCCGCCGCCGCCGCCTTCAACCTCTCTCCGCCGCTCACAATCTGGATCGGAAACAAGCAGTTCCCAACCGTCGCATTTTTGGTCACAATCTCGGCGGTTCCATCGAAAACACAGGCCTCCACGTTCTGATCCTGCATCTGAAAATATATGTTAAACGCATACGAAATTCTGCCTCGCCGGTCCAATTGACCGCACGATCCTCCGGCTGTCAAGGCCGTACAGTCGGAGTAACCGCAAGCGTAATCCACTTCCTTCGCAGTTGGCTCCAAATTCTTCAAAGTCTGCCTCAAAACGCACCATTTTCGCTCCATATACTGCACTCCCTTCGCCGCCACCAGCATTTTGTCGTTTCCTTTCCCCGATAAATCCATTGGAAATTTAGGTTTTCCATCGAATTGAAAAATCCCCCAATGGCGCTCGAAAAAACCTGGCAAAACGCTTTTTGCGTTCTCGTCCAAAAGCCCGAACAAGTACACCTCGAAGCTCTCCTTCGGCCTCATTGGAGTTCCTTCGCCAGAGGCCAATTTCTCGAACAAGCCGTCGTAGAATCGTTTCGCCAGAGTTACATTCGCAAATACGTTGGCGTCCGTCGGCCAACCGACTTCTCCGATGACGATTTTCAGGTTGGGGAAGCCGACTTTCTTCAAGGACCAAATCAGCGTGTCGTAATTGGCATCGAAGACGTTGGTGTAGGATTTGCCATTGTCATTGTTGGACTGTCCGCTGCCGCCGAAGAAGGCGTAATCGATGGGGAAATTAGGGTTTTGGTAAAGACTGAGGAAAGGGTAAATGTTGACCATGAAAGGGGCATCGTGACGGTCGAGGAAGCGGACTATCTCCTTCATGATACTGTAAATGTCTGGCCGGAATTGGCCGTCGGACGGTAGATTAGACTTGGCTTCGTAGACGTCAGCGTTGAGGGCAGTGGTGACCTTGATTTTTTTGCTATGGCCGGCTTCGTCGAGAGCTTTCTGTACGTTTTGCATCGCCGGAAACGTGACGTTCACAAAGGATCCATTGTAAGCCGTCAAGAAAGCTTCATTTCCCACAGACACATACCTGCACTTTTACCACACATTCTTACATTTCTTTTCTCATATTTTTCCAATAAACATTTTATTTTTTTTAATCCAATTATAGTTTATATATTTTTTAATAAAATTTATAATTTATCATTATATTTTCCAGATATTTTAGTTTTTACTCTTATAAATTTTTAAAATATATTTAAATTTCTCTTTTATTGTATAAAAATTATTATTCTTCAAATATATATACCTACTATTTTAATTTTGTATTAAATTTTTTTAAAATTAATTAAATAATTATAATTTTCATATCTTATAAATACATGTTTAAATATTTATTTATTTATTTATTTAGAGACTTAACTTTCTATTTTTCAATACCATTTTTATTAAATTAATATTACTATATAAAAAGTGAGAGAGGACGGAAATATAATTTTATCTCAGGTTTTTTTAGTTATCGAACAGAAATCTCTTATATTTAAGAGTTTTTTCGGGTTAAATTGTGATATCACTAAAAAAATGTTTAGAATAAGAGGAAGGAACCTGATATCGACGCCGCCATCGTACATATGAACGGTAACATTATCTTTAACCCAATTCTTAGCTTCGTTGTAGCTTTCAGCAAATTTCTTAAGGCGATCATTAGGAATGCCAATAATGGTTTCAATTTTAGAACCAGCCAGCGATGATACAGTCCAAGTGTCGGAATCGAAGAGCTTCACTTTTTTAATTCCATTATCCTTCAGCAGGTTCACCACAATGCTCGGTTTCAGAGGGTGCGATGCCAATGTTCCCCAGTTCACGCCGATTCCTCCCTCTGCAACGCCAGCCGCCATCGCCGCCACGGTAATCACAGCGGCCCACGCGGTGGGGACGATCGTTGCTCCGCCCATAGGGTCAATCTCTTGTAATGGGTGAGAGTGAAAATGGATGCTTTTTGGGAGTTGGGTTGTGATTAATTTGGGGAATGATTTGGATTATATATAGAGAAAGCTGTGATTTCAGGGTTGTATTGGAAGATGAAAGGGTCAAAATGAACAGAGTTCCTCCTCTTTAGGGGGACACAAGAACATGAACTTGGTTCTTGTTTAAACTGATTAAACCATTTCTCTCCCTGTCCATGAAAAACATCTTTAATTTTTCCAAAAAAAAAAAAAAAAAAAACAGACAAACTATAATCAGGGAGATGGACTGTCTCTACTAGATTTGATTTGGTCGTTCTGATCTTGTAAGGACAAGTAATGCATTGAAGATTAATCAACTTTGTTTTTTATTTTTTTTTTGAAGTTGGTAGATCAAATTTTTACTCCATTATAAGCTCATTATAAGCTCAAATTTAGAGTAAAATCTCATCTCACAAGCTTATAGTTTTCGTAATCGGGGTTAGTTTATTAACATTTAACTAGGATGAAAGTTGGATTTGTGCTGAATATAGGGTACAAACGGTGAAGATGACGTCTCAACATAATAGAGACTACTATACTCAATAAAAACCGTCGTACTTGTAACTAATTGTGTAAGGCCACCTAGACACAATGCAAAGATTAGACCCCATGTCTCATTATTTAGAATAAAATCTTTTACGCTTTTGTCCGAATTCAGTACTTAAATCAAACTCAAACCTTAGAGCCGCTCTTTGAAGAAGATTACCAAGCCTAAAACTGAGTATCTAATCATATATATTTTTTGTTACTACCATTTGTTGTTATAATCCTCCACCTCTTCACCTCATGTATTGTAAAAATGAAAGAAAACGAATAGACATTTAGAAGCGATTGTAGAAAAGACATTGTAATGTAGCACATAAACCCTGCTGGGATCAAGCAAGTTTTGTTTTTGAAAGATACTAATAAGAAAAGACACATGCAAGTATTTATGCAACAGCGACAATTACATTCCCATTAAAGTGATCAATTTGCAACTGTTTATCAAATATTATACAAATCAAGGTGAAGCGGAAACAAAAACAATGAAAAAAAAATCAATAAATAACCATAATGGAAAAGAGATCCCACAAAACTGATATACAAAAGGCTTCTCTAAGCATCCAATCCTGCACCTAATATGATTGTGTTGCTTGAATAGACCTAGCATTGGCTTGTGAAGGAAAACTACAAAAAGCAAACAGGAAACTTGAAATAAATGAACTGGTCTGCAGATTTTACAACTCTACACCTCCTTGTGCCATCTATTCCCCCTTCCCATCAATAAATAAACCAGGGCAGGGTAGTATATTTCCATGGCCAATTATTCAAGGATCCAAGAATATGATGTTATTGACATTGTCATCGTCCCCGTTGTTGATCTTTCCAGGCGCCGATAAAAAGAACATGATGTTTGAATGATCTTTTGACTTACATCAGCGGAAGATATGTACCGCCATGCCCTTTCCTAAGAACAAGAGGTCCGGCGTTCTCAGGTACCTTATCAAGCGCTTTTGTGCAAGCATTGATAACATCCATAAAACCAGTGGCAAGTTGAGCTAGTTGCAAACGGAGCCTCAAATCCCGAGTCCTTTTCAACAAGCATCTAAATGATCTTCCCAAATATTTTGCCCACTCTGCAGGCAGCCCTCCCCCAGTCAGCCAGACGGAGAACTGGGACTGGTCCCCACGGGCAGCGACTTCGGACCTATAAAATCTTGCAATGTCGCCTAACATTGAAGGATGGAGTGGAAGCACAGTGACAAATTCAGCCACAAAGTCTTCTAAAATATCTGGCTTAAGCATCTGATTCCAAATGACTAAAGCCCACTCGCTTGGCTGGTCGAGATCATAAGCTTCAGCAACAATTAGTGCCTCCTGGAATCTTGATTGGTCGACGAGAGCTCTTCTGGCATTGGTTTCTGTCTGGAAGAGCCATTTAAAGTCGGGCATCCTAATCTGAAGGGACACTAGAGAGGCCTGAGCACAGGATCTGCGAGTTTTGTTGCCTGCATCAATGGAAGAATAAACTTCAGCAGCTTTAATGTAGTATAGCATGGCATCTAAAAGGTCTTCGTTCTGGTCCTTGTCATAGCGGCGGAACCACATCTCACAAGACTGCTCTGCCTGTGTCTCCAAAAGGGCCGCTGTTTCATGCTTCATGTCAAAATGGCTGTAAACCTGTATGCATGATGTAAATCACCAAATTAAACACGAGAGATGTTGCTCTGAGGTTAATTTCCATCGAAGTATACATCAAAGCAAGTACTTCAGGAATTTTCCGCTGCCTAAGATTTACGAAAAGAAAACTAGTACCGTAGTCCACTCGGATCATGCATATCTTAGAAAAAGAGAATGGAGGATAAAAAGATAAACAAGGAACACTAAGTTCACAGGAATAATTTGTATAGCAAACCTTGGGTTAGACATTATGAAAGCAAATCTTTGGTCATTTAATCTTGAATAATACTAATACTCCATCAAATGTTAACACATGCTGATATTTCTGCTAACTATCTAAATAAATAACAAAAGTAACTTGATCCAGAAGGACAATAAAACAAAAATATAGCATACGGAGTTGACAAAAATAATTTCAGAACCATAACAAAGGGTAATGTTGATAAAATAAGATAACTAAGGCTATGTTGGACTAGTGAGATGAAATAAATGATAAAATAGCCAACCATTCAAAACCATAACATCTTAGCATAATATCAGCCCAAATGTTGATGTCCTTGATAAGTTGCAAGCATATGCTAAGCATGCGATATAAAATAATTCCTACCAAGCCAACGGAAGATCTAATTGAATATGACATCTTATGAATTTATTGTAATTGTCAAGAATATGACACATTGGATATCGTGAACAAGTCTACAAACCTTAGCAAATGCATCAAGATCATTGGGGATTAAATGCTTAAGGGATGTAAGAACAGCGATCCGAAAGCCCCTGACAGCCTCAGCACTCCCTGTGCTTGTACTTATAGCAGCCGAAAACTTTTGAAGAAGAAATTCTAGTTGATTGTTCTCGATAAGAATGCCAAGAATAAAACTAAGGGCGTAGAAGTTTCCTACTCCAGTGATCAGACGAGCTAAACATGGAAAATCACCCTCAGCCACATAAGCCTCAACTCTTGTGGCAGCAAGAGCCACGAGAACATCAACCCCATCGAGGCAAGCTGATGATTTGTAGAAGTGGTGAGACAAAATTAAAAGTTCAACCTAAAACAGAACATTTTTTAGAAGTCAGAAAACTTGAGTCAAAATTCTTAAGAATAAGAAATCAACTTATTAAATGGAACAATCTCAATCCTCAAACCATCTATATAAACATCTCGACGTTTGATGGAATGAGAAAGAACAACACAGCTTATAACACTTAACTGAATAAAACTTGCACAATTCCTACTGTGTATATGAAAGAAAATGAAACAAAATGAAAGAAAATGAAAGAAAATAAAATTCCAGTTTCCATCACTTCCAGAGGTTTATTTCTTAAACAATATTACCCCAAGGAATCACACTAAGAAGGCGAAATCTTTTATCCCAAACAGCAGTCCATAATAGAATAATATAGAAATGATTATAACTCACAGTTTATCCACGTATTACTAATCACTAACAGTATCATAACTCCAAAAAAAAAAAAAAATCCACATTTTCTTCTCATGTTTTCTATTTTCACTCGAGACCCATTTCTTTCATAATGTACAAACCTACGCGACATAATGGAAAAATGTATGTCATAGTCACAGTAGTACCTCACAGGCATGTGGTATCTCTTGTCCAGTGATAACTAAACGCATCAAGGCATGCCCAATCTCTGGTTCAGAAGGACAAAGTTCTGACCACTTCAAGAAATCAGAGAATCTCCATAGTAGAGGAGCAGGTCCTTCATCTTTCTGGGAATCCATATAACCTCCACGATGTGCAGCCAGCAAGCCCTAATTTTTTGAAAATCATAAGAGGTCAGTTTAGATTAAGAACTGATACTTACCCCATGGGTTCATTCAAACTAAGGAAAATTATCCAGATTCATGCAAAATATCTTTAAATACAATCGATCAAATAAAGACTGAAACCAAAGCAAGTTTGATATTAAGCTTTGGAGATAATTCAACTGAATCAAAATTCATAATTCTGGAGATCTACTAGGCACTCAGTTGGGAAAACAACCTTGAGAAAAGATTCTGCAAGAATTTGAGCAATACTAGCAGCAGGCATAGAGTGAGTCTGCACAAGGAAATTTGCCTCCTCAAATGACTCTTGTGCCTTGAGAGAGAGCAGCTGTAATAGTTCAATTGGCTGTTTGTTATATGCCTCTGAAAATGGAAGTCCCAAGACATTTGCTGCTTTTACGACCGCAATAACTCTTCTACAAAGCCCACGTCCACCACCTTCAGCAAAAACTGTTGCTAAAGTCTCCAAAACCTGTACATATGAACATGCGGATCATGCACATCAAGCAAAATAAGAACAGGAGTTATCATTGGATGGCAATAAATTCAGAAGAGTGAGAGAGTGAGAGAGACAGGATTGACAGAAACCTGCAATGGGTTGAGATACTGATCAACTTGAATACCAGATGAAAGAATAACTGAACATAAATCCCCATCAAGCATGGACATTGGAACCTCGCAATTGGAGGTTGATATAGCTGCGAGCTTAAAAGAAGCATCCACAAGAAGGAATTCTGAAGGCACTTGCTCAGGAGATAGCTTTTGTTGAAGCTGCTTGGCAGCCGTAATTTGTCCAAACTCTAGCAATGAAAGAATGGCTCTTTCCACCTCTGCAGGCCCAATCCTTTCTTCCCACCCTGAAAATGATGTATCCATTTTTAAGTTCTCATCTTGCATGTGCAAGTCATTTTTAAAATTGGAAGAAATATATCCATCTTCAGAGTTAGTGTTCATGTCTGCAGAGTCTGCTAATGGCCGTCGTAGTAACATGGAACCTTTTGTCCTCCTTTTTGCCTTTGTATTCCCCCCTCCTGCAGTTGAAAGACCAGCATCTAATACTTGACTTTTATGGTGAGTCTGGCTGTTTTCTCTGACCTCATGTTTATCCATATTTTTATTCGTCATTGTACTTATATGTTTATCCATTTTTGATATCATACTTGCAGTCAAGTCGATAATACTTGAGCTATTCCTAGATTTACATTCCCG